CTGTATAGCTTAGTTCCATAATCCATGGTAAGATTGTTAGGATCATGGACAGTGGGAGTGAAAGCGAGACTTAGGTTGAGTCTTGGGGATTCCTAGGCCTTCAGAGGAGGGAAATGCCTCAAGCCAAGGGAAGGTGTAGTTTAGACTCTGGGGGTTGGGAGGGGTGGGGGTGGGGTGGGGCGAGGTATTTGTTGCTGCGTCGCTACACCAGACTTTACGGTGAAGTGAGGTCAGGGGCCCTACCCACAGCTAGAGTGTGATCATGTGACTACCAACATGGCCACCGCCTTGGCTCAGTCCAGGAAGGGGCGGGGCCTGGGGCGGGGCCGGCTCAGACTCAGGTTCAAGTGGGACTGGCTCGCAGTTACTGACATCTTATCATGGAGGCGAACGGGTTGGGGTGAGTTCTCCGCACGCGCTCGGCGTGGCCAGCGAGGCTTCTAACTTGTAGCGGAGGAATCTGTCCGTGTGCCCGGTTCCCCTGGAGAGTCCCCAGCCCGAACCCCAGGGTCCGGAATCCCGAAGATCCTCCAACCTTGGATTCCCGAGACCGTCCCAGGGCCGCCTCGCGGGACTGCGCCCCCAGACCTTCGTAGGGGATGCTCCCAGGACCTTCTAATCTTCAACTAGGATCCCCATTTCCGGACCGTCAGCTCTGATCCCTCCTTGACCAGCGCCCAGATGCGGAACCCGCCCACTTCCACTCCCCTGTCCCCGTGGTTTCTGGTCCAGAGACCCTCAGCCTCTCCTTTCTGCCCCCTCTCCCCCCGTCTTCCCAGTGGCTTCGAGCTCGGGGAGCTGGGATGTGGGTGGGGTAGAGGCCCCAGCGCGGGCCTGCCGTCCTGTGCTCCACCTGATAGGCAGAGAGGAGGCAGATGGCCGGAGCCACGGCTCGGGAGCCGGTCTGGGGCAAGCAGATAACGGCGCTAGACTGAATCCGCCTGAAGGACCGGCGCCTTCCCCACCCTTCAGCCGAGCTTACTGACACCTGCTCCCCTTCCCGCCCCACTCCAGGCCCCAGGGCTTTCCGGAGCTGAAGAATGACACGTTCCTGCGAGCGGCCTGGGGGGAAGACACAGACTACACTCCGGTCTGGTGCATGCGGCAGGCCGGCCGCTACTTACCAGGTCAGGGGCAGGGCTTGAGTTTGGGTAAAACTCTGGAGAGCAAAAAGCTTTTGAGCCCTAACCGGTTTGGCTCAGTGGATAGAGTGTCGGCTTGCGGACTGAAAGGTCCCAGGTTCGTTTCCAATCAAGGGCATGTACCTTGGTTGCTGGCACATCCCCAGTAGGAGGTGTGCAGGAGGTAGCTGATTGATGTTTCTAACTCTCTATCCCTCTCCCTTCCTCTCTGTAAAAAATCAATAAAATACATTTTAAAAAAGCTTTTGAGGTGCAGGGGAGGGCTCTTGAGGTTCCTCCAGGCTGAGCCCTGCCCTCCCTCTCCTGTCTACAGAGTTCAGGGAAACTCGGGCTGCGCAGGACTTTTTCAGCACCTGTCGATCCCCAGAGGCCTGCTGCGAACTGACGCTGCAGGTGAGGGGCCCACAGAAGAGGGAGGGACTTCTGCCCTCAGCTCACCACTTAGCAACCTGTCTCCTGTTCCCTATAGCCACTGCGTCGCTTCCCTCTGGATGCTGCCATCATCTTCTCCGACATCCTTGTCGTACCTCAGGTACATGCTCAAACCTGACTCTGGAATATGGACACTTATCCTCACTGGACAGTGGGGAAGAGATGGAGTTTGGCTGAGCTTTATTCTCCCCTTCCTCTTTCCTGGCATGAGCTGAACAGAGCCTTTCCTCCTGGAGTTACAGGTTGGAAACACAGGTGTTTTCTCCCCTTCCAGGCACTGGGCATGGAGGTGACCATGGTGCCTGGCAAAGGTCCCAGTTTCCCAGAACCATTAAGAGAAGAGCGGGACTTAGAGCGCCTCCAGGACCCAGCAGCAGTGGTCTCTGAGCTGGCCTACGTGTTCCAGGCCATCACCCTCACTCGACAACGGCTGGCTGGGCGTGTGCCCCTGATTGGCTTTGCTGGTGCCCCGGTAATGTGGAACAGGGCAGGCACTTGGGCCTGGGGCAGTCACTCCGGCAGGTCTGGGATAGGCAAGGGAAGGAAGCGTCAGGTAGGCTTCTACACCTTGGCATTCTCTTTGTACCTTTTGCAGTGGACTCTGATGACGTACATGATTGAGGGCGGCAGCTCAAGCACCATGGCTCAGGCCAAGCGCTGGCTTTACCAGAGACCGAAGGCCAGTCACCAGCTGCTTCGCATCCTCACTGATGCTTTGGTACCATATTTGGTGGGACAAGTGGTTGCTGGTGCCCAGGTGAGTCCTGAGGGAGAGACAAATAGGCTGAGGTTTAGTCCATAAGGACCAGAAGCAACATAGTTCCTTGCACCTGAGAGAGGGTAGGTGTCTTAATGCCAGGCATGAAAGCAGCTTAGCTTGCAGTGATCTGGCTGGAGCAGCTAAGTCCATCCAACACTGGCGGGG